TCATTTTTCAGTCTTTTCTTCACCATGAGTTGTTGCTAAAGGGCCAGACCTTCCATCACCATTCACTGGCAGGGCTAAGAAACAGAACTACAGAAGTGAGTGATTAGTTTTTAGATAAAACAAAAACTATTAATTGTAGCAATATTTTGATATAAAGCAAATATTGTAGGACTTGTACAACTTATCCATGAAAATTATGAAAAAAATTAAGATTTTAAATGAAGAAAATTTTAAAGAAATATAGCATATTAACTCATCCCCCTTCCCCCCTTCTCATGCACTCTCTCTCTACCATCTCACACACAGAACTATAGAACATTACGTATTTTAAGTTCCGCATGATTCAGAATCACAAAACATTAGTTCTAGAGGGGACCTTGGAGATCTTCTCCTATCTCCCACCCTCATTTTACAGAAGAGGGACTTGAGGCCCAGAGAGGCAGGGTCATTTGGCAAGGGTCAAGCGGATAATGATTGGTTATCTGACTCTAGCCCTGTTTCCATGGCACTGAGCTTTCTCTAACTTAGAGAACTTTTGTTTTGAAACCTATTTCCTGGGGTCTTCCCTCCTACATAAATGTTTGCACTTTAAACTGCTTATACCTGGGATTTTTTTTTTCCTTCCACCTTTAATTTTCTTTACGCATCTGCCTCACCCCGGCTTCTTGCTGCTCTGTAGCAGAGATAGAAACAAGCTCTCCTCTCCATTAACAAGCCATTGTTATTATTTAGTCCAAATCAAACATACCTAGGAAGAAGTCACTTTTCTAGTCCGACACTGGGCAAAATTACTAAGAAGATGAGGTTTATTTATTTCTTTTTAAGTATTGTCTACCCTTTGGACACCTCATCCATCCCTGCCCTTTAATCATCCACTCCAGGTGCCCTATGCACTCATCCTGCTGCCTGTGCACTGGGGACTTTTCACTCATAGTTGCTCCCTAGGTCCACTAATATTCTTTGAACAACAACCAATTCAATACATTTTTATTAAGCGCCTATTATACACAGAGCACTGTGCTAGGCACTCAGAGGAGATGCAAAGTTTAGATAATGCCACAGCCTTCATGAAACTACCACTCTTGTAGAAGGATAAGGCACAAACATCCAAAGCTAAAACATACAATAATGCTGTGATAAATGTTTTAGGAGTTCAGATAAAATGTTATATGAGTGCTGAGGGGCAACATCATTAATCATGGGGAGAGGGTCAAGGATGTCTTCAAGGAAGGTAGCACTTGAGAAGGAATTCAATATGCATAGAGAATATCATGCCATGGAGGTGGGAGAGGACAGGCTTGTTGGGAAAAAAAATATGTTTTTAATATTCCCTAATACTTTGCTAATATTTTACTCCCTTGTTTCTCAAAGCATCAATTGGTCAATTTTAGAAGGCCCTCACAGGTCACGTGATTCTGCTTTGGCTATTGGAAATGCACCTTCCTTGTCACTCTTAAGACTGAGGATTTTAAATTACAAAGACGGTTGAAGCATATAGGCTCTTTTCCATGTCCTAAAATATGGTGCCTAGGTCAGGACACAACCATAGAGATGGGCCGAGCAGAGCAAAACACAGGAAGATTTTGATTCCCCTCATTCTAGACACGATACAAATGTATCGAACCCAACATGAAATTCAGTCCTATGGTTACAGTCACAGTTTATGTGTTTGAGCCCTATTCATGCAACCTATGATCACATTAGTGTTTTTGGCTGCTGCATTACTCTGTTGACTCATATTGAGTTTTCAGTCAATTAAAACTTCCAGGTCATTTTCACATAACTGCTCTCTATTCATATCTCCCCATGCTGTATTTGTTCAGTTGAATTTTTAAAATCCATGTTAGGAATTTACATTTATCTCTATTAAATGTCATTTAACAGGATTTGGCCCATAATTCCAGCCTATAGAGATCCATTTGGATCCCGATTCTGTCATCCTAAGTACTAAGGATTCTGCCCACCTTCATGGCATACATATTTGCTAAGCATGTCATCTATGCCTTTTGGAAATGTTACAGTTTGCTGATGGACTATTTGAAAACTGTGGTGCCCACCATTCTTCATCAGGAATAAATGAGAGCATGGAATACAACCAAGACATTCACTCTAGATCTATCTATAAGGCACTGAGAGCAGGTCTAGTAATGATGGAGTTTTGAGGTCTTGTCTTATCTAGGGCTGTGGACTTGGGAAACAAGTGAATCCTCAATTTTCAAGTATTTCATATATATCAGTTGTGCAATTCATCACACACACATACACACACACACAAACACACACACATTTCTTGCAATAAAATATAAAGTCTGGTTCTAGCCTGTATTCTCTCAGTCCAGAAAGACTCAAGGCAATCTGAGTAAATCCCTACTGAAGTAGCCCCCAAAGACTGGTCCAAGTCTATTTGGACCAGAGGAAACCACATTTGACCTAGGCAAGCCCCAAAATGGCAGAGCAGTTGGGAGAAATCTCAATGGATTCTAGTGGAATTCTGCAACTGTTCTTCCTATTTTCCTACCTTGCACTGGGATCAGTCCAATAGTTTCCCAGCAGGCCCAGAAAATGATCCTGTACCATACATTTCAGAGTAGATAGAACACTAGGTTTGGAGTCAGGAATAATGATAACAACAACAATAGCAATAGCATTTTATATAGCACTTTAAGGTTTCTGAAATACCTTATATATGTTATTTCATCAAATCCTGACTCAGGTACTTATTAGCTATTCAGACCTGGGAAAGTCATTGAACTTTTCTGCACCTCAGTCTCCTCATCCATAAAATGGAGATAATAACAGCACCTACCTCACAAGTTTGTCTGAGAATCTGATGAGAAAATCTACGTAAAGCACCAGGCAAACCTCAAAGCATTATATAAATGTAAGTTGATTATCAATATTATTATTAAGATTGGTCCAGATCCAGAAGTTCATTGGTATTGGGAAGAACCAGTAAGGAAATATCTAGTATTATAGATTTATATTGGCTTTGCATCTGATAAAGTGACTTTGGTGTCCTGTGATAAATACCTTTCCTAGAATCACAGTCACTATGTGTCAAAAATAGACTTAGCCTAAGTCTTCCTGTCTCTAAGGTTTGCTCTCTAGCTACTATGGCATGATGCCTCTGAGGTTGTCAGTAATATTACTGTTGTTGTTATTTCAAGAAAGTTCTGGAGATGGATCATAGGACCATAGAGTTAGAGCAGGAAGGGAGCTTAGAAGTCATGTAGTCCATCCCTCCCCCATTTTATAGAGGATAATGCTGCCTCTAGAGAGGTTGGGTGACTTACCAAAGGTCGCAGAGTTAGTTAGCAGAGTCAGGATTTGAAGCTGGGACCTCCAACTCTAAGCCCAGAGCTTTTTGCACTTTGCAAAATTCATACAGTTTGTTATGTGTTTGAGGCTATTGGGATATTGGATATATTTTCATATTTGCTAAATATATAAAATAGCTTTGGCTAATTACCCAGCTTAGATATGAAATGACAAAGGTTCATAAAAGTTGACTAAGCACAGGTTCTAGGACTAAAGGTCCTAGATACTAAATACTATGGGTATACAATACTAAAAGTATTGGATAAATATAGACCACAATTAAAAATAAAATTTACTATCCTTTGTAAACCAAGTTGTTGATAAAATCTTACAATTCCACGATATATACAATATATACAATACAATAATATATATACAATTCCAATACTATATATGTATGAATGTATATAAACACAGATATCTATGTACATGTATATATGAAGATACACATTTTGTATATGTGTGTAGATATGTTATATGTATATTACATATGTATGTATATCTCAATCTATGTGTATACTTATATCTGTATTTATATATCTAGCTCTATAACTGTATTTGTTAATATCTCTATCTTTATCTTTCTCTGTATTTCTCTCTCTCTCTCTCTCCCCCTTACTCTCTCTCCCTCACTCCATCTTTTCTCTTTGTCTCTGTCTGCCTGTCTGTCTCTCCTTCTCTCCCCCCTTCCCTTCATCCCCTGGTAAAGGTGATTAGACTATCCATCTCCTCATGTGCAAATTTGTGAATTGAACTGAATGGCTGGGGTTAAAATGTTAATTTTGCAGCTAGGAGTAATTGTTTCTTCTCTAGCCCAGTGGTTGACAGCAATTTGTCTTTAGAGGGACCAAAATCTCAAATTCTTATGTAAACTCGTAGGTTCATTGAAAGTATGTTTTACCCAGATTTGACTACATTATTAAGATACGTACTTATGTGTGTTAGCTTCAATTTTAGAAGAAAAAAATACTATATAGTACTCAAGATTCTTAAATGTGTTTCATTTTTGTTTAAATCCCCAGCATTGAGCAAGGTGCTTAATAAGTAGTTGTTGAATTAAATTGAACTTTCCAGTTATAATCAACTTTCTGCAAGCACATTGGCTCATACTTTAATGTTCATTGGTTTGAATGGAAACTTATTCACTCCTTGCTTTGAAACAGAGGATTTCAACTCTGGGCATTTTCTTGCCGGCAATGGTCACTCCGGATTGAATTTTAAAATTCTAGAAAATCACAATAAAATAATAATACAAATACTAACACAGTGGACTTATTGTTGTGCATAGAGATTTTTAGTATTTTTTTGGGGGGGGCATTAATTTCCATTTCACCATTTAATTCTCCAGTACATTTCCTTGAAAAGATGATCTGGTTATCACAAACAGGGGTACAGTCAGAAATAGACATGATAAAGCCGTCCCCTGGACAAATGCTAGCTAAGTGTGCTGCAAAGAATGGTCAGGCACAAAGGGCAAGGCAATCAGGGAGCTTTCTTGATGATCTGTCTGACTAACAAATAAATTCTTTTGCCTGTGGAACCAGCCTAAAATGGTTTCGCAATCCACTCTACTGTACTTTCCCAAGGTTTTCAGGCTCACCAAACAGTAACCCCCTCTGGTTCCTGTTTAAACTTGCAGGTTAGACTCAAAACATTATGGTAATCATCTCCAAGGACCCAGGCTCCCTGTTGCCTAGTGACAAAGTTTCCAAGTCCACTGAAGAATTCAGACTGTAACTGAGTAAGTTCATTTTTCTTTTTCAGTTTATGTGTGTGTGTGTGTGTGTGTGTGT